CAAACTTTCACGTTTTGTAAAAGTTGAATCAAGTTCCAAAAGATTTAAGTCTAAGGGGAGAGTTGAGGTTTTTGGGGGGGTCTGGTTATTGCATGTAGTAAGGTATGTAGATCAGGAATTAAGAGTGGTGTCAAAATGCTATATGGAATAAAGTTTCCAATTTCTCTATTTCAGCACAAATTAAAGGAAAAAGTGTTTCTGATACTTTTCTTGAATTATATGCAGTACACTTAATTACAAACTAGCATTTATTGCCTCAATATGAGAGTGGAATGACTCCTGTTTGATCTTATCTTACACCGCAGCACCTTAGAGGATCCTATTCTTTTCCTGCTGGAATCATTTGCTTATATAGCTTATATTTCCTTTTTCTCCATTTGTACTATTGTGGGAAAGCAGATATGAACCTCGCTGATTTGATCTGTCTAAGCTAAAGATGTGCATAAACTTCTACAGCGCAGATGGCTCTGATTATGGCTTTTATAGAGCCATCGTGAAAGGAGCCAGAATTTACCCCAACATATATTTCCATGTCGCAATAGGCATGAGGGCACTGATGAAACAATATTCACTGTGATACTAAAATTTAATAAAGAAGAAAAATGCATTGATTTCTTTCAATGATCCATATCATTATTCAGTATGGAGAAATCACCTGTTTAAAACTTTCAGCACTCCCTTGCCTGTTGATAGCAGCAGACTGTTGCTTTCTCTGCAAGAGTAAGATTGTTGGGATTTCTGCTTCGTACCTGCTGCCCACCTTTCATTGTACTTGCAGCACCAGTTTTATTTGTAACATAAGTATTTAACACGTAAGTCAGGAAGCATTTTCTCTTTAGTTGTTGTAAGTCTCAGGAAAGCTGTCTGACCCAGTCAGCTTTCAGTTAAAGCAAGATCTTTGCACTGCTAGTTTTGATCTCCCTGTTCTTTAGAAAGGAAAATTGAAAGTGCTGACATAAAAAGATTAAATCATATTAAACAGAAACAAAGAAACTGTCAGCTTTACTACTTATTAGGAAAAGACCAGGAAAGCAATATTCTTACCTAAATTGGATTTAGACTGATCTAGGAGTTGAGCAGTTACAGCAAGAGTCAGAGTCAACTCCCTAATTTATGAGATTTCAGACCCCAATGATTCAAATTTCACAAGGACAAACAAGCTCAAAAAAAGTGCCCAATTTCTCTGCTGGAAATCACATTCCACATCTTCCACTACCCTGAGGGAAATTTATCATCTTTGGTCATGATGGAACCAAACCAGAGAAATAAGTTCTCTCTTTTCAGGACAAAAATCTATACAGAAATTTAATATGTAGCAGAATTCAAACTGATAAGTCATGAGTTTTGCCATCCTGTCCACTACTACCACCACCACCCCTCCACCTCCACTGAATTTGTGGCCCTTTGATTGCAGGTTCAGACCTACAGTTTATTTTTGCCCACCTCATTCTATAATTGTATGAAAACTAAATTAGGGCATGAAACAATCTGTTCTATGGTTGGCGGAAGCCCTTCTTTTGCCTTAGATAATGGAATAGTCCCTTAAAAGTATGAAAATCATCTCCCCAGTTTTAGTGTTGAGCATTTCAGACATTCAGTTGATTTTCTAATTTTGAGCTTAATTCTACTTTATCATTCAGGGTGAAGGGCACACTTTCATAGTCAGATAAATTTCCAGTTGAAAAAACATGAAGTTTCCCTAACAAAAATCTCACAAGAGAAGTTATTGTTTAAAATCCTCAGCTGTCTTTGATTCAAAATCCAGGGGTGTTAGAAGAAGAGATATTTCTGTGTGATTTATGAATTCAATGATTCTTTCATCATTAACATATAAATGACCTTTTCTGTCCAGATTCCTAGTTTAGGAATTTATTTTTAAAAAAAAACCAAAACAACAACACACAAAACCCAAAAATCTTCAAAAGACTTTTCTTGAAACTTACATACTTCAGGAATGCAGCAAATCAAGGAGATGGAAAATATCCTCTGAGCCAGAACCCAGTACACTTGACCTTCTTCAGCCATAAAGGATTGGTAGACAGACATTGTTTGCTACTTGCCTGAATTAAATTGGGTCTCCTGAGATGCATATGAAGCAATTTAAAAAAAGAAAAATGCTGTTAACCAAATTTACTTAACCATCAATCTGAAGTAAACCTTATTTACTGTATTCATCTATTAAACTAATATAATCATTTGCATTTTAATCAGAAAAAATGACATTTAATTAGTGTTACAAAGCCAAACCCTGAGAAAGCTCCCCTATCTAAGCATACAGCTAGGCCACCATTTTTCAGTCTCACCACAGTGAGTCTTGTACGCTTTTATGCTTCCCTTGGTCTAAGCGAGCTTCAGGACTGTTTTATTAATTCAACTCCCTGGCACACTTCCGAAGCAGGAATAGGCACTCTTGTCACAATTTCATACAAATGGGGCCTTCTTGCTCAGCTGCCTTACACCCTGAGAACTGGCACCATCTCCTTCCCCAAATCCATCCTCTAAATTTCCTTGGATACAGTTCTTTTTTTTTTAAGGACTTGTGATGGTTGAGAGATAGTAGTTTACAAACAAAACAAAAAACCAAAGAAAGCCAATCAATCATAATGTCAGCAATTTACAGATCTAGACATACCAATAGAAAAAATAAAAAGCCCTGCGCACATGTTCTTGCCATACTTTCCCTTCTATTTTTTTCCTCTGAGCAAGAGCTCCAGAAATGTTCTCCTGTTGAGTGGTTTCAGACTATGACTCAAAGATGCTTGGCTGTGCCTTGTATATTCAGTTTTTTCCACCCCAAGATCCTGAAATGAAGCAGGACACTTTTATGATAGCATACCCCTGTTTCTGCCCAGATTTCCTGCATCTGCCTTCTTTTTCTTTCACCTCCATTATTTCTTTCACACTTTGCTTTATAGGATTGACCTTTTTTTGTTCTGACTGGGGACCTTAGAAACTTTCCACTCCCAGCCTCATGCAGAAATTAAAGACAGCCGGTTTCACCTCAAACACAATCCCACTGTGCCATGGCATTTCTACCAGGATGGTGACTGTTGCGGTTTAACGGCCCTTCAGTGCTCTGGATCTTGAGGAGCATGGCAGAGTTCTGATATTATGCAGCAGACTGTATATACCAAACCATTCTAATGATAAAGCCGTTTCATAAGCTCGCTCACTCTGATCCATATGTACATGCACACAAAGTCTGTAAATCCTCACTTTTTTTAATTTTTCCAGGATTTAATTTCACCTTCATAGAAATAGGTAACCGGAGTTCTGACTTTAAAAAAGCATAGTGGGCCAAAAACACACCAACAAATCAAGCCTCAAGAAACAGTCTTCTGAGTCAGCTTGCAAAGCCTAAAACACAAATATATATTTTTTAATATTTCTTCACTGTACAGTAGGGAATTAGAATAGCAGCCCTGCAAAATTGTCCATTTAAAATCAAATTCTTCCATCTCAAAGTACACTTCCCCCTCCCCTGCCCACCCCAGAATTATATTGCAGCAATTCACTTCTAAGTCACCGGTTCTACAATTTCAACTATCAGACAACACAGTCCAATGAAAGTAGCATCAGCTACTTCTCACAGGAGCCCCAAAGACTTATTTTGGAAGAGGCAGCAATTTACTCCAAAATTTTTTCATAATTTTTTTCTCCCACCACAATACACAAGGAGATTTTATTCATTAAATGTTCATTTCTTTTACGCATGTACAGGCTTAAGGCTGCGGCATGAGCGTGTCTGA